ACACTTTGAATATTCCACGTCAAGTAATCTGCTCGTAATACTGTTAGCTCATTTGGGATGTCAAGTCGTAATGTCATTAAAGCCATCACATAGACAAACACACACACACACACACACACACACACACACACACACACACACACACACACACACACACACACACACACACATGAAGTGGTAATGTGGTTACTGTAGGCATTAACAACCACATTATACAGTAAGTGTGGCATCCATGTGTTGCCTTTAAATTCACTCATTGTGTCATAAACACACACAGTCGTCATAAACCTGGTCGTTACATCGTAAGCCTGTGTTACACACACGCAGACACACACACACACACACACACACACACACACACACACACACACACACACATATGTTGTGTTCATTAAAGCATAGCCTTTACAGTTGGTAATAATGTCATAAATGTCAAAAAAGTAACGTAGAGCAGTCGTAACCCAGTCGTCAGCAGCGTTAGTCCTCGTTACTGCAGGAAGGCCACATGTGCCCGCCCCTCTCAGAGCTGAATACCCATCATGCTCCTGGTTCCTCGGGGGGCTGTTGATTAGCCAGAGGATGTAAAGAGGAAACGTCCTATTTGGTTACCCCAACAGGCAACTTTCAGGGTCTACTTTCACAAGAGGATGGAGCTGCCTGTATTATCATTAACACAGAATGGAGACATTTCAACATGGACACTGCATTTATTTGTATTTCATATACTGTATGGGAGAAATCTTGCTATCCTGTTTATATTCCCCCTCGAATAACGTTTTATTAAACCAAATGGTCTGTGTTTTCTCTCCTCCTGTCCTTTCTGTACTCTGCTTCCTCACTTTGAACTGAGTTAAGGTGAACTTTGCGGACTAAAACTTTACTCAAAAGTGCTATGGCAGAAAAAAAACAAAAAATTACCAAATAAACAAACAAACAAACTAAACCTTTAACACACACACACACACAGAAATGCACTCCTGAAATCCACATGGGACCAATTATCACATTTGCCATGCTCTGTTTGCCAACCCCCGATGTGTACACTGACAGAGAGAGAGAGAAAGAGATGCTCACACACTCACCCTCTCATTAGCCTTAGATGGCATAATGCTTCTGTGTGTGTGTGCGTGTGTGTATGTGTCCATTTAAAGGAAAACATGACATCATCCAGGAAGCTTTTATTAAACCATCACAGAGCTTTGCTATTGATCATCATTTACATCAAATACTCCGATAGCTTTATGCCCACATTCTCTATGTTCATGTGTAGCTGTCCCGCTGCACACCACCAGGTGTGTCTGATGGAAACACTGCTTCACTTGCATCATCATTGTGTGTGTTCAGGAGGAGGTGTTTTACTGGAAGAATCCGGCTACTCCTGCTGAATCATCAAAATGGAGGCGATGGAATCTCCTTCACATCTCTCTGTGAGACACACACACACACACACACACACACACACACACACACACACACACACACACACACACACACACACGTTGTATATGTCCCATGAGTGGTCATAAGAGGTCTTACTGGTCCTTTATGGGCAGTGTTGCTCAGACGATGCATCATCATTGACATCTGTTAGACTGACGCACACATACACACACACACACACACACACACACACACACACACACACACACACACACACACACACACACACACACACACACACACACACACACACACACACACACAAAAAGCATTGTTTGAGTATAGTACTTCTGTTTCTGAAATCTGGATTCAAACGATGGTTCACATTTAATATAGACCATTCATTAAATATTACAATTTCCTCTATTGGAATAAACCAATACATTACGTTTTGGTGCCTGAGTTCAAACTTTCAAAGTTCACCTTAGTGATGCAAGTGGACAGCTGGTGTGTTTTGGTGTGTGTGTAGAAGGGTGACTAACTGTGCTTCAGTATTTTCTCACACTGCTCAGACAGACGGATTACCAGGAACATCTCAAAAGGAAAAATGGCTCTAACAATCTCCGTTTGAACTTTTTTCCCAGAAGTCCTCCTAGACTCCCTTTTAGTCCATGGGATGTCTGAAGCATTCATCACATCGTCTCTGATGATGATGAGTATCACTGACTTCATACAAACATAATGTCATTATTCTGAGGTGTTGGCGAGGGAAAGAAGGTCCCCATGTGGATGTCATTAGATTTACTTTAATGGGAAAGCCCCTGTTTGATTTAAAAAAAAGAAGGAGAGTGAAATAGTTGTATATGATTTGCATGTCATTATTCATCTTAGGGCTAAAAAGGATAGCACAAGTCATGTATCTTCCTGGCTTTAAAGGCTGCATAAAAGAAAAGGGATGTGTTTTTCTGAATTCACTAATAAGTGACAGCGTAAGATTCTAGAGGACAGTATGTCACAAAGTGAGGCCTTGTGGGTAATTCAGTCAGCCATTGGACAGCATCCAGTGTGTCTGNCTTAAAGGGTGGGGTATGTAATTTATTTCTGATTTTTTTTTGTTGATAATCCATGGAATGATCTTAACATCCCAATAGCAATGAATATATGAAATGCTTTGACAATAAATACATAAAAAAATTTGGAAGCCGTGGCTCTGTAAAAAGCACGACCAATCATTTTAGCCGGCCCGGCTAAAATAACTGGATGGCCTACC